TGTTCTATCTGTTGGTATAAAAGTTTTTGTTACGAATGTCAAGTAGGATGGAAAATCCGCTAATAAAATTTTAAGAGAAAATGTTTCCAAGGATGAAACTACTTTTGAGTTGGGACTGTATGCGTCATGTAGATTATGTATACCTTGAAAAAAGTTCGGATTATTAGCTTATTGCTACCGAGATATTGCATTTTTACGATGATTTTTAAAACAATACCCTCTAAAATACCAGGAAAACTAAATTTTGAATTTCGACTTGAAGAGCTTTGCATAGAGAAAGGTCTTAATGAGAATATTTACTTATGAAAGTTTTAGATCATTTTGTTCTTTCTACTATAAGGTACGACTATGATAAAAATACGGTTTTTTTAACTCCGCTCATAGACACCTGAGGTTCTTATTTCCGCGGTATTGTGCTCAAAGAATACCGTAAAAATGTAGTATCTCGGAAGGACTATGTTAATAGTCCGAAATTTTTTCAGTGTATTCATAGCTTTTTTTAGGACCTACACATTACACATATTCTTGATTCAAATGCGATTTGACACTTAGAAACGTTTCCTCATTAGCTGGAAAAACATCGAATGTCTGAGCTTATGAAAATAACCACGTCATCCTTGTTCAAGATTCGAATTCGTTCAAAGTATTCTTCTATTAAAGTTCTATCAAAATAGTTAGTACAAACATTTCTAAACTTAGTTATATGTTTTTCAAGAAAACATAGTTTTACAGAGAAATTATGTATGGCAGCATAAGATATTTTCTAACCAAAAAATGCTTTATTTTCTTAAAAGTGACTTGTCTGACAACGAAAGTTACATGTTCATCTGCAATGTGAAAAATGAATATTGCGATGAGAGATCTAAATTTTTACTCCCTATGCCTCAAATTCTTCTTATACATTGTGTTTTATAAATTTTAAAACTTACCATACGAGTTTTTTCCATATTTGTACGTTCATAATTTGATGTTTCAAGTGCTGATTTAGAACGATCACGTTCATGTGCTGTATCATCAAATTGTCTTCGTAATTCATCAATTTGTAATTTATAAGTTGTTGCTTGTTGTTCGAAATGACGTCGTTCAATATCACTTTGATTTAATTGATCTTTTAATTGTTGAATTATATCACGTGCACTAGATAATTTCGTTTGTAAATCATGAATCTTAGATAAATTTAGAAAAAAAAATAAGAATATTTCATAAGGACAAAAAAAAGAAAATAAAATTTACTTGAACTTGACGTTTATTTAATGCAGCATGAACAGCACTAAATGTACTATCAGCAAATGATGGTGAAACATTTCGTGAACGTGATAGAGATGTTTGAGTTTGACGTTGTGGTGAAACAGATCGAGGCGAGCGAAGACTAAAAATAAATTTTTTTTTCTTTTGCATATCGTTTTATATGTTCATGAGAATCTTAGATAAGGATCAAAATTTAAAACGTTAAGTTTCGTAATGTAAAAATACTTCGCAAGTTTCGAATAAAGAATTTTAAGCTATTGAATTTCAATGACGGACGGTGGAAAATAAATCAAAAGGCTAAGTATTCAATAAGAATTATATTAAAGTTGTCTTTCGAAATGTTGAATATGAAAGTCAATAGCTGTTGAACAATGTCAACACCGCATATACATTAGTAAATAATGGTATGATGCGAAGAGAAATTTGTAGATTTCATTGGCAAATACAGATGACTAACAAATAGTTCTAATCTCAATGTTTTGAATTATTATGTATGAGACACTCTACTACACGAATATTATACAATAGAATAAAGTTTAAAACTATAGTTCTTTAGTTGATGCAATAAGAAAAAGAATTTATTATATAGTGAAAATTATTTCGATCGCAACACGTCAAACATTGTCTATATTTAAAACAAAAGGTAAATGTATAAAATAACATTTTCTTTGTAAATTGTAGGGCTTTTTTTTCGTTGCATTTTATGACATGTCTGGTTTTTTTAAATAAAACCTATGTGAACTAGAAAAAGCAACCATTTAACTTATAGTCTACCCATTAGTTCAGACATGTCGTGCAAGAGAAGCATTCTATATATGATCGTGTTGTTTGTCCTTATTCAAAGTCATCCAAAAGTACGTATTTCTTATCTTACGGTATCACAATGATCGATCTTAGAAATATTTTTCAAGCCTATCAGAAGTAGCATTGACTTATTCTTTTTATTCTTTTTCGACGCACATATTTGGAAGAAAGGGGTGTGATTTCTTTCGATACTCCGCCTTAAAAAATGTATTGCTACATGATTTTTCTATAACTAAAATTTTGTTTATTTGAAGGCAAAGTTATTTCTTCATCGAAAAAACATAAACATTAAATGTCCGTAAAGACCATAAATCACTCGAAATGTTATTTTTTTTCATTAGTTGTCGATGCATATTTTAAAAAAATTTTTATTTATACACTTACCTTATAATAATCCATAACAAAAAAAAAAAAAGAACAGAAAAAAGCTCTTATATTTTGAATTGAAAATCAAACAAAATTAATCTTGTCTGACTTAAAATTAACATAAATGATTTCTAAAACATAAATATTTCAGTATTTCTTTTTACTGGTTTTAAGCACTCGTTTATTATTGCTCTTTTTTTCTTCTCTCGATAATGATAAAATAAATATTAAATTTTATCGATAGAAAATACATCTGAACGAAGCAATAACTAAGCATAAAACCGAGTTACTAGTGTCTGAGGATCATAAAAGTTTTTAACAAAAAAAAAATTGACTTTTTATTTATTCTTTCATAAAATCGATCACTATTTCAAGGTTAATTCGAGTTGTTATTATATTTTTTTTTTGTAAAGGTAGAAAGCCTTGAAGAAAAGCTATTTTATAACATGACACTTCTTTTTTTGAAACCTTTCCTTTTCTTGTCTTTTTTAAATAAACTAATAGAAACCATTGATTTCATATTCAATGTGCTTTTGTTGATGGTAAGAAAAATAAATGTTCTTATTAATAAACTTGACTAATAAAGTTATGTTTTTTATCTTAAATTTGTATTTACTATGTTAAACGTATTTATCAATATAAATATAATATTTAAATTAAACATAACATACCGACCAAAAGCACGATCAGGTGAATCAAATCGTTCGGCACCTCGTAATGGTGATAGACGACGAGGTGATATTCGTCCTGCATCATCAATATTATATGGATCATCTTCATCATTAAGTATAGCCTGAGCCACATCTCGCAATCGTCGATGAATCCGTTCTCTATCACCACTGATATCCCGTGTATGTGTTTCCATAGTTGAAGAAGAGATTTCCTATAATCATGAGATTGAAATAGCTTGAAGCACATTTTTTTTGCTTATTATAGATTTATAAACATCAATAAATGAACTTGATACAAATGTTTAGGGTCATTTTGAAAAGAAAGAAGAAATATGTATATGAATGGTCAACAAAAAAAGAAAAGAGAATAAATGATAGAGCAAGTATTGTTCTAGTAATTTTCCTTTAAACACTTCATAAGAAATTTCCGTTGCTGATCATATACGGAAGAAGAATAAAAAATGAGTTTTAATTATAACAATTATATTTATTTCTTCATACCTGTGCTCGTCGATACATTACGATAATGGTCAGACAAGAACCGCAAACCAAATCAACACTGTTGATGAATGAATGAAAACGAAATGCGAGAAGAAGAACAAGAAGAAGAAGAAAAGAGAAGCGTTGATGCTGAAGGTGGTAGTACTTATGCACACCGCAAGACGACGATGAAGAGAATTTTTTTCTCTTTTTCTCTCGATAAAATATTTTCAACAAAAAAAAAAAAAAAAAAAAAAAAAAAGAAAGAATGCCAAACAGCATCAGCATCCTGTTTCATTGCTGACTTCTTCCTTTGCTCCTAACTACCTGTTGGAGCTTCATTCAAATCAAATAAGCAAGATCTACCAAAAACAGAAATTTGAGAAAATTTTGTAAACAACTTCTGACGAGCCTGTTTGCTTTTTAATATCGATGCACAGTTGTTAAACACTATTGTCTTCGTCTCATATTCAATCTTAACTAATGTTCAAGGTCGTACAGTAGACAGGCGGCGATGATAGTATTTTTCTTCAATTACAACTGTCTGCCAATATTATCATCAATTTTCAGTATAGGAATACTAATGATCAATATTTTTATTTCTATTCATTAGTGTTGTTCTCGTTTTTCGAATTTGATTGTCTATTGTTGTTATCAAAGAAAAAAAAAAAACGTTAGAATTATATTTAAAAATTTGTCCTCGAATCATGTAGGTTACTCAATTCTTGACAATCGAATACTCAATGATAGACGTAAGACAAACAAAAACTTCTAGTGATTAAATTGTAAATTATGTTTTATGGACTCACCTTTCCAACCGTCACACTACGATGCAGAATCTCGACAATAGTGTACCGCAAATAACAAGTGATCAGCAACAACTAATAGCACTACTGATGGTTGTTGTTTGATCTTTCTCTCCAGCTACTATCGGCAACACCACCACCACCACTGTAGAGTAAACAGTTGTGGCCTCAACTGTGTAATTTATTAATGGGCTTCTTTTATCAAAATACATTTTCTTCTTTGTCAATTTCACTTTTTTTTCTTTCGATTCGGTGCCTTTTTTCGTTTAAATTTATTGATGTATATAGTTTGATGAGAATACTACAATGTCAATAAACAGGGAATGCAAGAAAGAAAACGAAGTATGTGATTGTAGAAACAGTCAATTGCACTTTTTAGCTATAAATGTTGTTTTTGATATGTGGTAAATAACGAACAAAGGAAGGTAATACTCGAAACCACTATACAATACAACGACATTAGCTTAATCATTACAAGTGTCTGTTGAAATATGATGTGCGTCTTTCTTCTTTTTTTGTTGCAAGAATCAAAGCTGGTGTGTGTGTGTGTGTGTGTGTGTGTGTGTGTGCGTATCGTAGACTTTTCTCAATATTAATTTCAAAAAAAATCGAGACGCCTATCACTTTATTGTGAAGCCAAATATAGAATTTGTTTTTCACATGTCTGGTCAAGATTAATATTAGTTAAATAGATTCTTTTCTTTTTCTCATATTAGAATTCTATTTTTAAATGAAATCATATACAAGGTCAAATAATAGAATCAAATTTATTTTAATTACACATTATAACAAGAAAATGTATTAGTAAATTTTTAGAAGAATAAAGAATATTTTAAGGTTTCATTTTAAAATTATAAAACTTCAAAAGCTTCTTGACCATATATAATGATGAAGTACAATAGGTTCTTTTTTTTCAATGACATTAGACTTACCGTTGTTGGATTGGCACGCGTAAGGCTTATGATAGTATTCTCTTTTTCAGTTAATTTAAAATGTAATTTTTCGTTGAGTTGTAATAATTCTTGAAATCTAGATTCAATAGAACTTAATGATTATGAAACAATAGAATAAATATATATATACCTATGTTGTAAATCAAATATATCTCGTGTTTTTTCACGAATTTGACTTTCTAAATTAGTTCGATCACTACGTTCACGTTCAGTAGTAGCCTTTCAAAGTTATATATTTATACAAAAAAAAAATCAATTACTACTAGTTTATAATTTACTTGTCCTTGAATTTCAGTTGTTTTAGTTGCAGTTAAAAATCCAAAACAAGCACTCGTTAATGATCGACCTGTTTGTGAAAGATCATTTCTAACACGTGTTAAATCACGTTCAGTAATGCCTTTAAGTTCAGTAAATTGTTGACGAAATGAAACAATATCACGCCATAAATCATATATAAGATTATGTTCGTTATTATAATATTGATTAAACATCTATAGAAATAGTATCATATTGAAAATATAAATAAACAATTCAAAAAAAAAACGAACTCGTTCTTCTTCTTTCCAATTTCGTGTTTTTTTTGTTAAGTCTTCGCGCACTTGTTGAAGTTCATTGGTAAGACGACGTAAATCTCCCGACAATTGTTGATTAACTAAATGAGCTTGATCAAGTTGTTCTCTTAACATTATATTTACTTGACTTAGATTGGACAATCTTGAATAGATAAAAAAAAAAGAAACACATCATTTAATGCCAAGTGTTTAATATATAACGGTGTCACGAGATTGTCAGAATGTGGGCACGGACTCGATGACTTAGGAGACTAATTGAAAGACTTTTGCTGCGTGATTTTTTTTTGAGAATAGGTAAACAAAAAACAACAATAAAACGCTGAAGAAAAACAAAAATTTTTCAAGATTGAAGAGGATGGTGACCTACTCGACCTTTTCTCTATTCGGAACATTCTTGTTAATAAAACTGACTGATTAATAAAAATTTATCCATGGAACATCTTAGAATACAATAAAACATAAATATTTAAATTATTGACCATCAAAAAGATTTCTGTTTATTATAGTAGGAAACATGAAATATCAAATCTTTTTTGATTGATTCAAGTTTTATCGATATTAAATTATTAATGCTTATAAAAGAGGGATGAAATCGATCTGAGTAAGTGGGATCGGTTGGTCTGAAATCTGCACCAACACTGAAATAATGAGTTGTCATACTATTCCATCAATGAATAAGGATATTTGATATAGTCAAATTTTAACAAAGTTTCATTACATATTCTCTATGAGATACTAAGAACAAAAAAAAATTCATAAGATACATCAGTAATGACCGGTCCCATTTCTGGTTTATACAATGTTCAACCTACTTCTGTTTTTCTTCTTCGAGCGTAATAGCTGCAACATCTTGTTCGTCATTATTCTGATTAATACGAGATTCATAAATCAATGTAGATGTTGATGAAGATTGTACATTATTATTTGTCTATATTAAATATTTTTTGTCTAGAAGTTTTATTTTTATATACTTACAGTAAGTCGAATACGATCAATATCAAGTTTTTGTTGTTCAGTTAATAGTTCAAGTTCTGAACATCGTTGTCTATATTGTAAAACCTTGTAACAAGAAAAAAAAATACTTTGCTTTCTTTTTTCATGTCTATCGACAAAAGAATAAAAATTATTGATTTAAATACTTTTTGTTGTAGTTTTTGTACGAGTTGTGCTTGTTTTAGTTGTCCTTCTTGATAATTAGATAATTTTCGTTTATAATTTTGATGTTCTTCTTCAAGTTTTCGTCTTAAATCAATATTTTGTTGAACAAGTAGACTTCGTTCAGGTTCCAAACTACTAATATCTGATGATATATCAATACCTTGTGCACGTAATGATTGTTCAAGCTATAAACAAAAAAAAAAACAAGATCAAAGAAGAATCCATATGGAACCATTTGTAGATTTGCATATGTTCAATGTCAAATATAAAAGCAAAAAACAAAAATTATTTTTTCATGTTTGTGAATAATTGAAATGAAAAAGTATAGTCAAAATTTTGATTCTTTTGTACAAAGTCTTCAATAAATAGTCAGAACATAATCATTATACCAAAAAAAAAAAAAAAAAAAACAAACAGCTTACTCGATCAGACAATGCATTATAACGTAGACTTAATTCATCTTTTTCAGCTCGTGTTAAATTTAATATAGTTTCAACTCGATTTAATTCATCATTTAAATAACGATTTTCTTCAGTAAGTTGACTTGGATTTGGTGTACTCATTATATTTTGACTTGATGTTTGACTTAAAACTGTATATGGAGAACGTGATCGTAATAATGGAGGTGTATGAATACGATTTGAAAATATATCACGTGTTGATTCACGAACTAAAGCATTTCGATTATCAGCATTATTATCATCATTATCCGAAAGTATTTCTTCGAAACGCTAAAAAGATAAAACAAGAATAAAATTTTAAAAAAAAAGTCATATTTCAATTAGAATCCAATTTTGATGAGAAAAACTACAGATTAAAATGTATTTTATACGTACAATCGAGCAATCAAGAATATTGTTATCTACCATATTTCAGATAATATAAATAAGAATCAATAAAAACAAAAGAAAAAAGACGTGTTGTGTCTAACTCGAGTGATCGTTTTACACAACAAATAAATTAACTCGTGTATGTCTATGTAAATTGATACTATTTTCCTGTGCTTGGTTAATATGACAATATATAATAGTAACAAAAAAGCCTCAGCTACTGACAATGATTACAATATTATTAAAGAAGGAAAGAATAGAAACGAGACATAACGAAAAAAAAGAGTTTTTTTTTCACTTTTTTTTGTTTGTTTATAATCGTGTATTGGATCATAAAATGTTATGTTTCTTCGTCATCCTCTCAAAACTTTTTACGCATTCTTCCATATTATAAGAGGAATCTGAACAACTGTTTGATTGATTCAAGTAAATCTAAAGTTGTTGAGAAATGTATGACAGAATTTTTATTTTTATAGGAACAAATAAAAAGATGCTTCGCTATAGTAAGAACTATTGCGGTTTTATAGTTAGTGAAATTATTCATATGAAAAGAAAAACAATAGTATAAATATTTAGTAAAAATAATTATAAAATTTTAATTATTATTTTCATTCATCTGAGTACTTTTTCGTAATTGATATGATGAAATATTCATCTATTTATAATTTGTTCATAAAGTTAAATGTTAATTCTTTTCTTTTTTTGCATTTAAATGAGACTATAAAGAACAAATTTACTTTCTTTTCCTTTTTTTTTTGTTGCAGTTAGTGAAGTACAATCGATTAATATTAGTTAAAAGAACTCTCATATGTTTACTTAACATGCTCGTTAAATTACTTTAAATTTTCAGTCGCATGCCTTTGTACATATTGTTCACTCTTCTTCCTTCTTGAAGGAAAAAGAAACAAAGTGTTTTTATTTCAACATTTTAAAATATAAATTGGCTGCAAAAAAAGAAAAGCTAATCTCAACAACGTCATTCCACTTCACTAATAAAAAAAAGAGAAATGTTTATGAATCTTATTAACAAGTTACGTTATGCGAAAAAAAAAATTGCGTCGAATATTCATTCAAAAGGTGATTCGTCTTCTTCTTTTTTTTTTGTTATTTCAAGGTTTTATAGTTTCATTCATCGACTTTTCTTTTTTCTTTGTTCATTCAATGTTTCTTCAAACACGAAAGACAAACAAGACATATTTAAATCAAATATGTTCGTTCGATCGATAATGTGTAGCTGTTTACTTGAAAAACTACGGTTCTTCTCATATATATATATATATATGTAAGAAAAAGAGATGGAAATTTGGTAGTCACCTTCATTTTTTTTCTCGTTACGATTGTTTCTCTCATACAAATCAAAGAAAAATGATTATATTGTTTTGTTGATGAATAAGAAGAAAAAAAATGAGTTTTGATATTACAATAAATTAATTTCTTACGGACAATGTCAGTATTGATAGAAAAAAAGGTTTTGATCGGCAAACGACAATAATAGACCAAAATGAAAAGGAAATGTAAGATTATGACATAATATATATACACATGTAAAAAATATTTTTTAACAAGGCTTCCTTTTCTTTAAGATTAAATAGAACTGTATATGTTTAATTTTTACATCAAGGACAATATTCTAATCGAGTTTTTTTTTTCACTTACAATATATATACATATTTATATATGATTACCAAATATACAATGTTAATTAGATCTAAAAATATGGTACAGACGATTGTTTGACTAAAAAAAAAAGGACACGTTGTAAAAACGAATTTATTTTAGATGTAAAAGTTGAAGTAAGTTTTCAAATTGAACAAATGCCTGTGGGATTTTTTTTGTGTTTTAACACTCAACAAATGACAACACTTAACCACAGATTACTGGATGAAAAAGGAATCGCCATTGAACATTCGTTCAGTTCTATTCGTTGCTAAGTGATAAACGAATACTAATGGTAAAGGTCATCAATATACTAGAAATTTAATAATAATATTCTATTGATAGAGTCATTTTACATTCGTACGAAAGGCTTGTTCAAGTTGTTTGATCATGAAAAACTTTCCTATGAATAATATTATGATTGCTATATTCATCTATAATTGAAAATAAAACATAATGTTACAAATAGATTCAAATACAATCTAATTTATTTATTTATTTATTTTTTGAAAATTTCAACATATGAAGTATAATCATGTTTTAATTTAAAAATTAAATAAAAAAAAAGATTTGTTATTTATTTGTATATTAACGTAAATTAGCGGCATCTATAATAAACATCGAAGATTTTTGCTTAAAATATAATCAAAATTTATTTGAGATCATTTATAAATTTCAATGAAATTAAAATTTAGTATTTCTTAACATAAATTACGTTGTTTAAAATCTTTCGAAAAAATGAACCATTCAGTACATTTCATTTCTTAGTCCAGTTAAGTTAGTTTAAACGTCGGAATTGGCTAATCACTTTTGCACGTTGTCTATTTTATTCGATAATATTAGTTTTTTTTCTGTAGATTAATATCATCATCTCATATAATTTACTGCAAAATGGCATCATCGCAGTATAATTTTAAGAAAATTGTTACAATACCTACGGCTCAAGTACAGTCTTTGACCTTTATTTACAAAAAAAAAAGAATTTAATTGTTTTCTTTTGTTTTTTTATTTTTAAATTTAGGATTTTATTGATATTATCCTTTCGAAAACTCAACGTAAAACACCAACTGTTGTTCATAAACAATATAAAATCGCTCGAATTCGTAATTTTTATTTACGAAAAATAAAATTTACTCAACAAAGTTTTCATGATAAACTTCAACTTATTCTTACTGAATTTCCTAAACTTGAAGTAAATTATTGATTTTTGTTATCTTCTTTTTTTTTGTTATTAAACAAAATTATTTTCTATGTAGGAAGTTCATCCATTCTATGCTGATTTAATGAATGTTTTATACGATAAAAATCATTATAAATTAGCTCTTGGTCAATTAAATATAGCTAAAAATTTAATTGATAAGTAAGAATAAACACTATCAAAGTAATTTTTTACTTCTTCTTTTTTTAAATTAGTGTGGCAAAAGATTATGGACGAATGATGAAATTTGCTGATTCACTCTATCGATGCAAATGTTTAAAACGAGCAGCATTAGGAAGGTTAGTTTATCCTATTCTTTTTTTTTATCGATAAACAAAAATTTGACTCTTAGAATGGCAACAATTATTAAACGTCAAGCACAAAGTTTACAATATCTTGAACAAGTTCGTCAACATTTATCACGTTTACCATCTATTGATCCAAATACACGTACACTTTTAATATGTGGCTATCCAAATGTTGGTAAATCAAGTTTTCTTAATAAAATAACACGTGCTGATGTTGAAGTACAACCGTATGCATTTACAACAAAATCACTTTATGTTGGTCATACGGATTATAAATATTTACGTTGGCAAGTTGTTGATACACCGGGTATTCTTGATCATTCATTAGGTAAAAAAAAAGAATTTATTTATTGAGAAAAAAAAAATTTGAATGTTTTTTTTATAGAGGATCGAAATACAATTGAAATGCAAGCTATTACTGCATTAGCACATCTTCGTGCAGCTATTCTTTATGTTATGGATATATCAGAAACATGTGGTTATACACTTGAAGAACAAGTATGTGAATTTAAGTTATACATTGCAACGAAAATCGAATAAGATAAATTTTTGATGTAATCGACGGTATTATTATATTCTTATGATATTTGAAGTTTAGCTTTCGATCGTTTTATTTTTATTGCAATTTTATATATGATTAATTCTTTGTTGTATTTTACAATTTGAATTGATGTAAACAGAAATTAAGAATGGTTAGAGAAAGATGTTTTAGACAAAAATCGGTCATCTACTTTTCAATGAATAGTTTTTCTTTGTCTAGTCTAAATATGATTCTATGCTTCTGGATATACAATTTATGAAAAATTGAGATGTCGGAATTATAGGCCAAGCTTAAATTTATTTTATTAATCATCATAGAAATAATCTGTTTGTGTTAGTAAAAAAACGTAATTCAAATACTTATTGTTTTCTATTTTTAGCTCAATCTATTTAATAATATTAAAGTATTATTTACAAATAAACCATTATTAATTGTTCTTAATAAAATTGATATTAAACAATTTGATGAATTATCTGAAGAGAAAAAGGTAATTTCTTTTTTTTTTTTTATTAATTAAACTGTTCTTTTTTTTAAAAATATATTCAGGCTGTATTTGAACAATTTCGTAAAGATGATGTTCGAATTATAGAAATGAGTACTTTTTCTGAAGAAGGTGTTATTGAAGTTCGAAATGAAGTAATTTATCTTAACAAAACAAAAAGAAAAAAAAAGAACACTAAGAAAATCTTTTTTTATTTTTTCTAAAGGCTTGTGATCGTTTATTAGCACATCGTGTTGATATTAAATTAAAAAGTCGTAAAGTTAATGATGTTCTTAATCGTTTACATGTAACACAACCACAAAAACGTGATGAGCGTGTACGTGCACCATATATACCTGAAGGTGTTATACAACGTTTAGAATCTATGCAAGTAACAAATAATAATAATGATCAAAATGTATCAATTGAAAAAAAGAAAACTGAACGTGATTTAGAAATTGAATTAGAAGAAGATTATCATTTAGATTTACGTAAAACATGGTCATTAAAAGATAATGATGAACGTTATGATATTTTACCTGAAATATATCGTAATAAAAATGTTGCTGATTTTATTGATCCAGATATAATGACAAAATTAGAAGAATTAGAACGTGAAGAAGAAGCACGTGAACAAGCTGGATTTTATGATATGAATGAAAGTGAAGATGATGAAGAAACAACAGCTATTAGAAAATTAGCGAAAAAAATTCGTTATAAACGTCAAGTTATTATTGGTGAAGCACGATCAAAAAAACAAGCAAGACGAACACCATCCGTACCAAGACCAAAACGAGCTGTTGATCGTGAAAACTTAGAAAATACAATGAGTGGATTAGGAATTGATATGGATAA